TGAAATGCTTATATTGTGAAAACAAATTCAAATTTGTTCGTGAATCGCTCGCAATGACGTTGAAAAACGTAAAGAAGGAACCAAACCAATAGACGATAAAAGAAACAGATGAGATGAAAAGACAAAAATGAATCAAAAACTAGAGGAGTAATAGTTATTATCTGAATAGCTAATTAAATTCTTATGGGAATCGAGTTTCAGTACATTATGATATAATATGATTTATTACTTACCTTAGATTCATGAATAATATTTTTCTTTGCTGATTAATTTCATTCAAGTTTCTCATTTGTATAAACAAGAGCATATAATGTCAAGCAAAAAAGCAAGAAATGATATAATTAAATTGTATTCTTATCTAATGTATGATGAGAAAGTACAAAAGGAAACATCAATTAATTTAACTGTTATCAGAGTATTTTGGATCAAATAACAATTATTTAAATGTTTAATCATAAAACTTGGAAATGATTTTTTTCACTCGATTCCGTAACAAGCAGAAATCAAACTCAGGATTTGCATTCAATTTTCATTGTCATACAATTTTGTCAACCTTTCACTTGATTGTAAACCTTATGTTGATCTCACGTTTTGGCAGTTCAATTTTTTGTGTCGTTTCTTTCAATTTCATGTAAACATTGAAAACATAATCATCATGTTTTGGGTTTGTTGACACAAAAAAGCCATAAAAAGGAACCAGAAAAGATGTTTAGTCTTATATTTAGATATTTAATATAAGGTTGCTTTAAATACTGACGTTTACTTGTTTACCAAACCAAATGAAACTGTTTTCAGCTAAATCAGCAAGAAAATTGTCTTAAAAATAAAAATCGATTTTCAAATTTCATTCCATTGTCTTTATTGATATAATCAATATCAACTTCAACAATCGGATTAACCTTAAATTGATTAGTTTATAACAACATTAATGTGAACATAATTGAATAAATAATAAATCCTTTGGATTGATTACAAAATTTCAATGAATTGGGTCAACATCAAACTGAAATGACCATTAGATTCAAGTAGTCAGACTTGATTGTCTAAATTAATAAATTAAATTAAATAATATAAATGCTAATTGAGTCAACTAAATTGTAACATTTCAAATTGATAATCTAATTAAAACATGTAACCCTTTTGATTCACAAATGCGCCATCAATAATATTCTGCTGTCAATGCAAATAGCAATGACGTTTCTATCTAAATTCAAGTATCATTATAAATCAAGGTTTAAATTACAATTATTTAAAAGAGCAAATTGAACAAAATTAGTTTGATTTACATTAAAATGGGTTCATTTTAGTTCATATCTGACTGCAATGCATTTTTAATGCTCATGTTAACTTGAGGATGAGAAGGCAATGAGAAAAGTCTGTGAAATTAAGTCAATTTGTCATTAATGAATTATTAAATTGATGGAAATCAGGAAATGTGGTATTTCATAGAAACTTAATTGAGTGGCAACAATAAACTTCATGAATTAAGTTTGTACACTTTGAGTTCGTACAGTTTAAGTCGTTAATTACAGTAATCTCTTGAGTTTTTGGATTTTCGTTACATCCACCATCAAGATGAACTTGAGGGGAAAATGAGAAAATCAAAAACCTAAACACTTTAATAACTCCCTTGTAGCCTCTATGCTCTTCCACCCACAGGGGATCATCAAAGTGTTTTAACTGTTAGAACCCTAGAACATTTAGAACATTTTTATCGATTCAATCTGTCCACGGAAAAGTTGGTTTGTCGATTGCATTTAAACTTGTAACGGCATTAAATAACCAACAGTCAATAATTGATTCTCATATGCAACCTGTGCGGAAGTATTTCTAAAGAATAGACACATTTGCACTTGACTAAAGCAAACAGTTGTAAACCTTTAGCTTAAACGCTAATCCAATTACTGTTTTTTAAAGATTTTTTTCTCAAAATCAGCCAGTGACTTTATGAAAATCTTGCAAGAATATTTAGAATTCAGACAGAAAGCATCAGAACAAAAATTCAAACAGAATCATTCATCTTTTTGTATCCAAGATGAAGTATTGAAATCGCAAAAAATGGTCTTTTACATGTTGCTAATGATTATCTTTATGATTTTAAGAAAGAAAGTAGTAACGGTCTCCAGTGATGATGTAGCTCCTGTCATTGTGCTTAGAGTTAAATAAATTTCATAGTTCTCGCCACGAATCTGAATTTCAATTATTTTTAAATTTCATAATGAATCACATCAATCGTGTTGGTTCACAGCTTATAGTATTTCGAAGTACTCACAGTTTAGTGAAACAGTTTTTAATCAAATTGTTTAATTAAATACTAACAGAGACTTAACAGACTTTTTAGCACCAAAGTTAAACATTAAGTCAAGTTGAAAATCAGTATGTGCAGAAATGCGAAAAAGTCTAAGAAATTAATTCAATTTGAAATATTCATAAACGAATTATTGAAATGATGCAAATCAAACCAATGATATTTCAATGTCAATACGCGTTTCAAAAGGCTAATCTTTGATTTAACTGAATAAAGTTGTAAAATGATTTGACTGTTAGATATTGAAATGAATTTCAACAGTGAAATGGTGAAAACAAAACAAGAAAAAAAAGATGAAGAATGAAAATGAAAAACTTTTGATAAATTTGAGCCTCAATTCAGCTGATATTTCATGGTTTCCTCGGTTGACAATGTGAACAATATTCAGCCAAAAAGCATTTTACTTTTTGTTCAACTTACTTTCCCTTTGCTTCTCTGTACTTTTACTCACTTCCCTACCTTATCCCTAATTATCCAGGTACAGTCACCGGAGTCTCACAAAAATTTGAACTATTTTTTTCTTTACTCGTAAAAAAGGTTGATAAAAGCTTTTAACGATTACTTGTTACATCAAGAATAAATAGAAAAGCAGAAACTGTTTCAAGATGGAATTGAAAATCAAAAGTTGAATTGAAATGAAATTGAAACATTTTTCAGGCTCACCCAAAGCTGTGAAAATAATCAATTATTATTATCAAAAGTTGTCAATGGATCAACAGTTTAATTGTTGAGGTTAAGCTCAATGTTTTTTAGTTTTTGTTCAAACAAATACTGAATCTTTAATGTTCATCATTTCAAATGGAAATATTTTCAGGTCAAGTTTTTTTACCAAAAATTTAATGTTCTATTCTCATTAATTATTTTGACTGTTTCATTGCATTAGCATTGCATCAAAATTGATAAATTTGATTGTTGAAAAGCAAAGTTTGAGTTTTCATCAGATGTTTCAATCTGAATCTCAAGTTAATGGCTCTGGTAAAAGGTTACGGATTTGAAGTAAAGCTATTAGATTAGTGAAAACACATTAGACGATAACTCATGGAATCAAATTGAATTTGAAATGCAAAATGACATCTTTCACTTCATCTTGTCTTTTAATATTACGGATCATTTTATTTACCTTTTTTTACGTTTACTAACCAAGTTTTTGGATATTTTTTCAGACTTTGTCTTTTGATGTGCATTTCAAGAGGCTGCTTTTACTGTCTAGTTTAATTTAACAGATGATAACATTTCCCAGGTAATCAGTTTTTAACCTTAATTTTAAACTTTCCATTTCAACATTTGTATCAGATAATGAAAATTGAAGGAAACAACAAGGAAAACAATGGAATGCTTTTCAACATTTGGGTCACTTTTTGTCACTTCTGTACTCGATTGCTCTACTTTCCAATCATTTCTTAATCAACATCAGGAAATAAACTTGAATTGAACAGAGAAAAGGATAACTTTGACATTTTCAATAACAGTTTCAGCTGTTAACCTTTTTCTCAGCTTCACTCCAACAGTTGTTCAAGAAATGAAGAAAAAGCTTAATGTAAATAACATTAAGAATTACTTATTATTACTGATGATTATTTCAATCATTTTATGGTCAATTTGTGTGGTCAAAATTGTACTTAACTTGGTAATATTTAAAGTGCTTTGTGTATGTCTGTTGTCTCATGATGAACAATTGATGCATTTTAAGGTGAAATGTTGAGTGTTTTGACATTTTTCATGTCAAAGGGAATCTTATTTAGACTTTCTTGTCAACATTTCATGTAAAGTATCGAAAGTAGCAAATTATTGTTGTTACTAACCAATGTTGACACTTTGTATTCATTTGTATACATCAATGATAAACCTTTTCATTGTTTCCACAGGGTAAAATTAAAGGTCAATATGTGAAGAGGTAAAAATGTTGTCAAGTGAAAAAACATTTTAATACATTACATGACATTTAAATGTATAATCTCACTACCTTTTCAAGTTGAACTTGAATGAAAACTGGGCGATAAAATACACTGAATATCAATTGTAAATGCTTTTTCAAGTAGCAAAATATTATTCAAAGGGAAACTCGAGTTTTCTCAGATGTTTTTAACACCATTTCTCGGTGACTTTTGGACTATTTTTAATGAAATTCAAGTGCACAGTGTACTGAACACAAAGCTTCTGTTCAATTTCAAGTTTTAATCCAAATTTTATAATTGGTTGGATAAATAAATTCAAATAATAATTTTGAACAGTTTTTTTTAATTAAAAGTCGCGCTTTGCCAAATTATTCAAAAGGTTTGACTCTTTTTTATCGTCTGACTAATATTGGATAATACTTGGTTAACCAGGCTTTGTTTTTGTTTAAGTGATCAAATCTAATTTTTATTAGTAAATCTGAGTGTTTTTAATTCAATTTATCTTCTGAATAATGTCTACTTAACATGGAAGGGATTCATTCAACAAGTCTCTCATTTTAAATACAAGTGTTCAAGTTAAGCCCGCTGTTGAGTGAGAATTACTGTTTGTCTCTATTAAATGTATGGTGGTCATCATGTTAAAGTGGTTATTTTTGTGTTCTATTACAAATTAATCCTGTGGGATAATATTAATCATCTGACCCTTGGCTATGATTATATGTGATACAAAATTAACAACATGCTTTTGTTTAATTTTTAGGTCTCAATCAAACTGAAGGATCAAATTATCGTGAACTGTACATGAAAAAGGGATCACCCATTGGACTTTAGAGTAATTAGAAATTGAACTTACCATATCGAGATCACTGATTTCACTGATGCTTCGTATTAGTATGTTGACATTAACATAACAAGGTCCATCTTGTCCAAAAATCGAGATGATAAGATAAAAAAGGTAAAGAAAAACAGAAACAAAACGATGAAATTTTTAATGCTTTTTTGTTTTTATTTTCAGAATCACATCTTCAATTTGATTGTAATAAACAGATGATGGAAATGGGTTTTCTCAAATTAGACATCATAATCGCCTGAAAATAACAGCCATTATCAACATGCTCATCCTGTAATAATGCAAATTTGATTGATTCATTCCATTATCATCAACTGTAATGATCAATTCTCAATACACTTTCATTATCTTGTTAAATTCATCATTTAATGGAGTACAAGTAGGAGAAGAAATACGTTTCTCACCAAGTCACGCAAAGTACAATCTGATATTGAGCTTGAAGCTGTTCAATATGCTTCTTAAAACATTGCTTTTCTCAAGTTTCTAAAGTACACTTCGCAAACTCTCTCAGCGCATAATTTAAATACATCGATCAAGAAATGAAAATTCATGGTTTAAATTATGACTATTTCAAGCACAAACTCTTGTTTATTTGACAAATTGGATGAACTGTATTTTCGCTTTGATTGAAACTGCTGTGAACAAGACAATGCTTACCCTGTTGAGTTAATGAATTATCATAAATTTTCTTTTCCTTTTCTAATACTAATTAGCTAAAAGGCGGAATCTCTATGAATAGATGGTTGAAGATTTCGTATCGTTTCTTTGGTAACGTTGCATTACAAGGATTATTGTATAAATATTGGACAATAATACAGATGATTATGACATTACATGACATCATCTTTTGCTAGTTGAATATGATAAATATTGTTGCTGCCCAAGGCAATTTCATTCAAATATCTATTCACTTTTTAAAGTATTATAACAGTTACTTTATCTGAATTCACTTTCCATTACTTATTTTTCAGTGGATAATGTCATACAGTTGAAGCAGTTTTTATAACGACTAGGAAAAAGACATTAAAGCAAGATACCTGAAAAAATAATGTGTTTGTTTTCCTAGTCAATTGACTATTTAGATTGATAAATGATGGTAACTCTGTTGACCAGTTTGACTTTTTCAAAACAGTAAGCTTTATACTAGGTGAGTCAAAAGTCGCGCAAGTCTTTAAATCGCGATTGTGGGGCTGTCTTTTGGTTTTTTTGCACCAAATTTTTTCCAATACAGTTTAAATCATTACTGATGTTTACTGCAATCAAAATAATGAACATTGATTAACTCACCTTTATGAAAGCGGGCTTCCTCAGGGTCAGAATTGCGATAATTTGGTGAAAATTTTTTTATTTTAAAAAATGAAATCCCCCTCAAAATTATGCATTTAGCTGAAAAAATTATGTTCCTAACTATAGCTGTTCAAAAGTTATAGCGATTTAAAAACTTGCGCGACTTTTGACTCACCTAGTACCTTTTCATTTGCAAATGAAAAGATCAAACTTGAAAGTCAATCCAATTGAATAAATCATTCACCTTTTACATTTTAGTTAACCCAATACAGTTTAAATCATTACTGATGTTTACTGCAATCAAAATAATGAACATTGATTAACTCACCTTTATCCGAAGTTGTATTACCTCTTGGCCTAATACGACTATCATAGTTACCATTTCCAATAGTTTGGTCCAAAATGCGTCTCTCGATAGTTCTTAAGCTCTCCAAACAGCTGAAGATCAAGATGACAGATGCCAATGAAGACAGAAGAGGAAATTAAGAGGAATCAATATCTTTTTATCATTTAAATTTCATTTTCAAGTGAGTTATAATGGGTTGAAAATGGGTAAACATTGAAAAATTAATGATCTTTCAGACATGAGCTTTTATTAATTGATCAAAGTGGTTGATCCAATTGATATTTTACCTCTAATCAGTGCTATCATAATCAATAATTAACTCTTACTTTTGTCTATCAATAATTTAAACTACAAAATGTTTACCTTATAACACATATTCAGTTGATAAACTCAACAGTTGAATAATGTAGATGTATGATGATATTGTATTACTCGAAACAAAACGCAATCTTTAAAACATGAACATAATGAAATGTTATTAGATTTGGAAACAAATAAAGAGGTTGTGATAAAATATATATTACAATAAATTTATGATTTAACTTAATGTTTCAATACTGAATCAATAATGACGATTACATGGAAACACGACACTGAAAACGGTTTCAATGGCCTTTAATTTTTTTCCGCTCGTTTTATTTTACTTCATACTTTGTCGCAATATTTGACAAGAAAAGTGTAAACAATCCAAATATTTACAATATTATTATTACAATTGAAAGTTATTATTATGTAATGTTACAATAACATGAAATACAATTTTCATCATTATTATTGTTTTCAGGGAATCCATTTGGTGAAAAAAAACTGGTTAAAAGGTATCAACTCTGAACAAGACAACCAACCTTAACCTTTACAGAAGCAAAACCATTTTCATTGTTTCACATTTGAATGATCAGTTTACCGGTTTTAACCTAAAATAGTAATGTTTAACCTTTCAAATGTGATTTATTTTTGGGTTGAAATTGAATTCAATTTTCTGATTAAATATCGCCATATCACAATACAATGAATGGATCGAATGATTGAATTTGTCTTGAAAATAATATAAAAATGTTGTCATTAAAATAACTTAATGAAAAAAATCAATGAAAATGATAATTGTCTTTTAGTTGTTTATTTTGGGTAAACTTGAACAGGTTTTCTGGTTCAATGGGTAAAACAAGCTTTCAATTATTGTTACCAAATGAAGCAAAAAATGGTTAAATCTTTTACCTTTTATTTAGGTGAGGGTTTGATGAGTTCAAACAATCAGTCAAAGAGAGTTGATTAAATTTACAAATGTGAACCACAAACAAGTGAATCAGTGTATTGCTTCAAATAAATGTCTTTAAATCCAACAAAAAATTGCAACCAATATATTTGTTTTCAATGTATACTTACAGGGAATGAAAAGTGTCTTAATTATTTTCATTGATAGATTAGTGAACAATCAAGAAACTAATTAATATTGATAGTCATGAAACTGTGTGATGAAGGAAAAAAGAGTGAAACAAAGCAAACAATAAAGTTGATTGTTACCAGGAAAATGAACTCAAATATTGATCCATTTTCATTATTGCTTTTCAATAAACTTGCTTAAAGCTGATAATAGTTAATCATCTTCAGATGATCAACTTAATTCTGAATCATCTCATTGCCTAAGATTTAACTTGTTGATTCATTACTGTCAACTTATCATGGAAACTTGAATATCGTGATTATCCGTTGTAATCATTATTGACTTTAAAGCATTTCGCATTGAAATGCATTCCCTTATCAACTCTTCATTGTTAGGGTTGATGGATAAATTAAATGGATTGATTGATAGACAATATAAAGAGTTTAATCAAATTTGATTCTTCAACAATTGGTTAAACAAAAGCTCACAATTTATGTTTCACTTTGCAATTTAATTACCATCAAAATGGCCTGAAATTAAATTCTTATCAGTTAATTTATCAGAAAAGGTCGATTGTCTCGTTATTGAATAGGGATTGTTAAGGCAAAGAATAATGAATAATTAGAAATAATTTAAATGTAACTTACAAGATTAACTTGAAACCGGTGAATATGAACAGAATGGGATAAAATGTTGAAACAAGGTTGATCCTTATTGGAACAGTTTCCATAGGAAATAACTTTGAAGCAATCAGATTAAATGAAATGTAGTTTAAAACAGAGAATCAGTGATAATTTGAAAGAATCAGTTGATTGTGAAAATAATTTCATTGATGAAACTGACGAAACGATTTGCTTTACTTCAATTCATTTGCAATCCAAAGGGATGTCACAATATGTTAACAGGTTTATCCTGGCTTTTAGAAACTCAAATTCACCATTAATATATGATTGAAAGTTGATGTCTTTTCATGTGCAAATCTAATGGTTGCACTTGCAATGATTGCTGATTTGATTGGTTCAAATTAAACTCACAAATGTACAAAAACTTATTTCCCAGTATTTGAGTTGACAAATGTTCAAGCAGTGTGAATATCAAGAGATGAACTGAATAACTGTTGAATGAGACGCAGAAAAGGATAATGATGATGACTGGGAGTAACTACAGGGAATTGAGAGGAAACTTGTTTCAACTATCAAAGTAAATATGAAAATGGTTGTGATTCTGGGAAAGGAAGGCGACACAAGAAGGAGATTCACAATAATGATGAAAAGATGCGCACAGAAAAGAACAGAATCAACAGTGATTTATCAGATTCTTCATCTTCACCACTTTCATCTCAATCATCTTCAATCCCTTCTTCATCAACTTCACCATTTACGTTTCTCTATTTGGATTCAATTTTCCATTGTTTTATCGTTTATCAGCTTTACCAACCTTTTAATCGTAAGTCATTAATCAACTATTAAGGTTCATTAATGTTTCTCAGGTTAATCAATTTATTTTTCATCGCTGAGTTTCACTCCTTTAAGGCCTATTACGCCATTGAAACGTCTCAATCTAATGTTGTCTTTTGACCATTTTTCCGATTCTATCGTTATTTTATTGTTAACCTGTAAATGTTGGATTGCGATTTGGTATTTTGAAGCACAATTTCACAATAATATTGTTGTAATCGGAATAAAGAGAAAATTGAATTGAATTTCAGGTTTAATTTAATGAATAAAACGCATTTGCTATTCACTTTTCCCTATTAATTTCATCTCGCCTTTGTTTGTGTTATATTTTATACTTTTAAGTTTTGTTATTACATTTTTATAAACATAATACATACAAAAGAAACCCTTTTTTGTAACAATTTAAAGTAATTTGAGATTGACTAGTAAATTGTCTATCATTGGTGATGTGAATATAAAAATATGTGAAAAAATTTTCATCAAAATTCAATTGCATTGTTACTCGACAAAAACATTTGATAAGCTTGTACTGAATAGGCAATTTTGATGGTCTTTTGTGCTTTTTTCATCTTTACACCATTTCAACCCATTTCAACTGTTAATGTCAATATGTTATTTAACCAAGAAAATGTTTAATTTACGTTACATGGATTTCAACAATTGTGAAAAGGCGAAACAATTAAACCATTAAAAAAGTGAAATGAAATTCAACATTTTTTCTCGGTGCTTTTGTTCACTTCACAATACAATCCTCTGTATGTGTTAACCCATACCTTGAGTTTCATTTTAAATTGACAATCTTTCATAATTGTTACTTCATTCATTGTATTGTTATTGCATTATTATCAACCATTGACAGTTATTTTGAGCTTTTACAATCTAGGGA